AAAGCATCATGGCAACAAATGACAATGAAAACACAACAATTCAAAATCTATGGGACACAGTGAAAGCAGTCTTGAGAGGGAAGTTCATAGCTCTATAGGCCTACCTCAAAAAACAAGAAAAAATGGTAGTAAATTATCTAACCCTATAACTTAAAGAGATAGAAAGAGAGCAACAGGAAAAGCCCAGCCTAAGCAGAAGAAAGGAAATAATAAAGATTAGAGCAGAAATAAAAAACATGGACACCAAAAAATAAAAATAAACAAAACCAAGAGCTGGTTCTCAGAAAGGATAAACATAGCCAGGCTCACCAAGAAGCAAAGAGAGAGGACCCAAATAAACAAATCAGAAATGAAAGAGGGGAAGCAACACCCGATCCCACATAAATACAAATTATGAAAAAATACTATGAACAACTCTATTCCAACAAAATGGACAACCTAGATGAAATGGACATATTCTTAGAAAAATACAAGCTCTCAAATCTCAATCAGGAAGAATAAAAAAACCTGAATAGGCTGATACCACCAAGGAAACTGAAGCAGTGATCAAAAATCTTCCAGCAAACAAAAGCCCTGGTCTGGATGGCTTTACAGGGGAGTTCTACCAACTATTCAAAGAAGAACTAAAACCTATCCTCCTCAAACTATTCCAAAAATTTCAAGAGGAAGGCACACTTCTAAGCTCTATGAAGCCAGCATTATACTAATTCCAAAACCAGATAAAGACATCACACACAAAAAAAGATAACTACAGGCCAATATCCTTGATGAACATAGATGCTAAAATCCTCAACAAAATTCTAGAAAATCGGATTCAGCATTAAATTAGAAAGATCATACACCATGACCAAGTGCAAATTATCGTGGGGATGCAAGGATGGTACAATATCCACAAATCACTAAATGTGATACATCACATAAAGAAATTGAGAGACAAAATCACATAATCATATCAATTGATGCAGAAAAAGCATTTGACAAAATCTAACACCCTTTCTTGAAAAAATCTCTCAGCCAAAGATGGAATAGAGGGATCATAACTCAACATAATAAAAACCTTATATGACAAACCTACAGCCAACATCATACTCAATGGGCAAAAACTAAACTCACTTCTCCTAAGAACGGGAAGAAGACAGACATTCACAACTCCTGTTTGACATAGTACTGGAAGTGCTAGCCATAGCACTCAGACAAGAAGAAGAAATAAAAGCCATCCAAATTGGAAAAGAAGAAGTAAAACTGTCCTTATTCACAGATGACATGATATTATACATAGAAAACCCCAAAGACTCCATCAAAAAACTACTAGACTTAATAAATAATTCAGCTATGTAGCAGGATACAAAATTAATACCCAGAAATCTATTGCCTTTTTATACACCAACTAGAGGCACGGTTCACAAAATTTGTGCATGGGGGTAGGGGGTCCCTCAGCCCCTGGCCTGCACCCTCTCACAATCTGAAACCTTTTGGGATATGTCTGACTGTCAGGCCTAAACTGGCAGTCCAACATACCTCTCACAATCCAGGACTGCTGTCTTCTAACTGCTCATCTGCCTGCCTGATCGCCCCTAACCACTCTGCCTGCCTACACGATTGCCCCTAACCTTTCCCTGGGTGCAGGACCAGCCACAGTGAGGGACTGTGGTATTCTGGTCTCTGGTCATTCTGGTCGTTCCACCATTTCTGTTGCTGGGCTTTTATTATACAGGATAATGAAATCAGAGAAAGTGATACTAAAAAAAAAAACCCCCACTTACCATTGCACCAAAAAAATTAAGATATCTAGGAATAAACTTAACTAAGGAGATGAAAGATCTGTACTTGGAAAACTATAAGACATTGGAAAAAGATAGAGGAAGACATAAACAAATGGAAGAATATACCATGTTCATGGATTGGTAGAATCAACATCATTAAAATGTCCATACTACCCAAAGCAATCTACAGATTCAATGCAATCCCCATTAAAATAATAACAGTATATTTCAAAGATCTAGAACAAACTCTCCAAAAATTCATCTGGAATAAAATAACAAAACAAATAGCCGCAGCAATTCTGAGAAAGAAGACCAAAGTTGAAGGAATCACAATACCAGATATCAAGCTACATTACCAAGCCATGGATCTCAAAACTGCCTGGTACTGGCACAAGAACAGACATATAAACCAATGGAACAGAACAAAGAACCCAGAAATTGACCAAAGCCATTATGCTTAATTAATATTTGGCAAAGAAGGCAGGAGCATACAATGGAGTCAAGACAGTCTCTTCAATAAATGGTGCTGGGAAATTTGGTCAGATACATGCAAAAAAATGAAACTAGATCACCAACTTACACCATACACAAAACCAAACTCAAAATGGCTAAAGGACCTAAAAGTAAGACAATATAACCATAGATATCCTACAAGACTCCATAAGCAGCAAAATAGCAGACATACATCATAGCAATATCTTTACTGACACAGCTCCTAGGGCAATGGACTAAGTAGAAAATAAACAAATGGGACTACATCAAAATAAAAAGCTTCTGCACAGCAAAAGAAACCATCAACAAAACAACAAGAAAGCCCACTGCATGGGAGAACATATTTGCCAATGCTCTTTCAGATGATGGTTAACTCTCCAAAATTTACGGAGAACTCATACAACTTAACAAAAGGAAGATAAACAATCCAATCAAAAAATGGGAAAAGGACTTAAGTAGATACTTTATTAAAGAGGACATACAGAAGGCTGAGAGACATATGAAAAAATACTCAAAATCACTAATCATCCAAGAGATGCAAATCAAAACAACAATGAGGTACCATCTCACAACTGTCAGAATGGCTATCATCATCATATCAACAAAAGACAAGTACAAAAAAAAAAAAGACAAGTACTGATGAGGATGTGGAGAAAAAGGAACCCTCGTGCACTGCTGGTGGGAATGCAGACTGGTGCAACCACTATGGAAGACAGTATGGAGTTTCCTCAAAAATTTAAAAATGGAACTCCCATTTGACCCAGTAATCCCAATTCTAGGACTATATCCCAAGAAACCAGAAACACCAATCAGAAAGGATATATGTACCCCTATGTTGATAGCAGCACAATTTACAATAGCTAAGACTTGGAAAGAACCTAAGTGCCCATCAGCAGATGAGTTGATTAAAAAATGTGGTACATCTACACTATGGGATACTACAGTACTATAAAAGAGAAGGAACTTTTACCATTTGCAATAGTGCAGATAGAACTGGAGAGCATTATGCTAAGTAAAATAAGCCAGTTGGAGAAAAATAAATATCACATGTTCTCATTCATATGTGGGATATAATGATCAACATAATTTGATGAACAAAAATAGACCCAGAGACAAATGGCAGGGGAGGTGGCGGTTGGGGTTAGAGAGCAACCAAAGGACTTGTATGCATGCATATTAGCATAACCAATGGACACAGACACTGGGGTGTGAGGGCTTGCCCAGGATGGGAATGGTGGGGGCGGGAGGTCAATTGGGGAAAAAGGAGACATGTAAAACTTAAGATAATTATATTATTATTATCTTAAGTTTATATATATTCATGCTTACCAAGAGGGTAAGCATGAAAAAAACAATTCTTTTCTATTTATTAAAATCAATCCTCAACCAATTCTCCTTTTCCATAGCATAAAAAGGTTTATGCATTCTAAAACATACAGCCATTTTCTTTTAAACTAGTCTATTTTCTAAACATTTCAGTATTTCATTAGTTACAAATACATTTTCTTGATCCTAAGTTGTAAGAACCAACCAAAAGTCTTTCCAAATTATAATATACTAGTGGCCTGGTGCACGAAATTTGTGCACATTAAAAGGTGATTAATTAGAGGAAATATTTTAATATTGTTATTTGCCCTTTCTCTATAATAGAAGTGTCAGAGAAGAAAGAAAATTAGAAAATGTATATGAAAATCTTCCTCCTGTCAGAGTCTGGGGTGCACCACAGGACCCAGAGTCAAGTCCCCACCCACCCACGTGTGCCTCAAAATGACACGAGACCCAGACCCAGCCCCCCCCCCCCCCATTGCTAGATCCAGAACCCTGCCGGTCCCACCCTTGTCAAGCCCCGCC